ACTTTTTTTCCTTTTTCTTTGTAAAAATTAATGTTGCTTGTTTCTGTTGCTGTTTGAACTGTAAGCTGTATTAGGGAAGGCCTTTATTCCTTTATTACTGTTACCTGATGTACTTTTTAAACAAATGTTTCTGATGTTGCTAATACGTGCTTTGCAAAAGTGCCATCCTTAAGTTTTGGTCATTCTTGGGTTGATATTCAATAATCAGGGCCTTCGTCTCTTTTTTTTTTTTTTTTTTTTTATTTTTCCCTGGTGAATAGATGGCTTAGAAATAGTGTCAGATAAGTTGATTCTAAAATTCTTGTGTTCAAATTGCATGGCAATTCCCCTGGAAAAGATGGAAATACAGTTTTCATTGTTTGAGAAAATATAAACAAAGGGTAATGCCTCATGCCTCTTGTCAGTTTTCCTGCATGTTTCCAGTAAGTGATATGTATTTAAAATCTCTGTAGATTTGGCTAGACAACCATAGAACTGAATATAGTGTTCATTCTTTGGGATAGCAACTCCGCGGAGAATTTGTTGAACTTTAACAACTTTTTAGCCTTTAAAAAAAAAGTATTTCCAGTGATGTCAATCCCTCTGTTGATACTCTTAGCCTGTTTATAGTGGTGTGTTGCAGTTTGCCCTAAACCCATCACTGGTTGATGGTGGCAAAATTGGAAAAGGTCACTTATAGGGATTTTTAAGTTGGCTTGTCTTCTTTTCACTGTGTTGAAATTTATTTCATAGGCTAAATCGATTCAATTATTATAGTTAAATATAATACAAACCTTGACTGTTAAAAAACAAGGCTTAGTAGTGTGTTATGTAGGGGGTTTTGTTTTGTTTTTCGTTAACTGTCCATCAAAATCCTGATCAGCTTGACAGGCAATTATACAGAAATATAAAACCAGGATAGTGCGATCGTTGCACTTTGGATGGACTGGGGGACCACGGGGTTAGGGCCAGGCTGATATAAGAATTTCTCCAACCTGACTTGTAATTTGGTATACCTGTTTATCAGGGGATGCTATACATTTCTCACATTTCAGAAGTTCACCTGCGGTATCAGAGCCCACTGCAGTTTTACTTTCAAAGGAACTCCAGTTGTATGATTGCTGTGATGTTGGCACTGACAATGGATGCTCAAAACCCAAAATGTGTGACTTGCTAAGCAGAGGTTTGATGTAGCTTGGAACTTTTATGACTAAAGTCCCTCCTAAATCAGGTGTTTCTCGTTGGAGGAGGTGAGGAAGAACGTTATGTGCAATGGATTACAAAATCTTAGTATTACAGAGAACAGATCTTTCTGCAACAAGTCTTATGGTTGCAAAATCAAAAATTGCTGTGCTAAGACCTATTTTAAGATCTGTTGGTCTGTTCACATTAAGTCAAAATAAACTGTATCCTTTTTACTGCTGTTGTAAGATTAATGTGACTCTGGGAATACTTTGTTTCTATTGTTGATGATCCACGGTAATTAATTAAAGCTTTGACTGCCAAACTCTCAACAAAAATGCTGCTTTCTTAGTATTACTTATTTAACTTGCAAAGCATGAAGTTTGGCTAATTAAACTAAGTCTGGTAGGTAGAGAGAAACAAAGTACAGTTTCCTTACAGTTAGTTTCTGAATAGAATGGTAAAGAGTAAGTTCTTCTTTAAACAGAAACGGTTTTGTAAAGAAGCAGAATTTGTCAGCTGTTAACCTTTAAAACTGTCACCCCCCCCTTGTCCTTCAAACCTTTTCAATTCTGCAGAAGTTGTGTTAAGGAATATGCTGCTGGTTTCTGTTCCTTTCTCCCGAAATTGTTTTTGTTGGGGAGGCTTTCTGGATTTGAGTGCCATCTTGTGGTGCGTTGTAAGCATCTAAGAAAAGGGAATAAGGCCCCGTCATTATTAACCTGTAAAGAAAAAAGATTTGATTAGTATAGAGATGTTCCAAGTTGTATTTACATACATACTGTACAATGAAAAACATTCATTGTATAGTGATCTGCATTTTTTCCATTGTGCTTAGTAGAAGACAGTGCTACTTTGTACCTAAAATATTCATCAGCTCATTTTAATTACTTCAATGTGTGGCCCGTGGAACGAAACCTGAAAAATTCACAAAATAGACTGTGGTAGCCTGCTAGCTGTGTTAATATGCTGTCTTCTCTCAGGAGGTATGACTTCTAATTAATGGTGATGTATAATGAATTGAAAAAAAAAATCCATTGCCAATGTACAGGTAATTTTAGGTTCTGTTTATTTCAACAGGTTTAGTTTCTTTGCTGTAAAATCGGTATCAATGTAGAAGCTTAAATCTTCTGGTTTAAGTAACAATAGAAAGTTTGCTGTCATGAATCCAAGCTGTGAAATTTTTCATTTAAGTACAATTGTGTATAAAATGGTGCCCTGTTCGGTATCAATGTAGAAGCTTAAATCTTCTGGTTTAAGTAACAATAGAAAGTTTGCTGTCATGAATCCAAGCTGTGAAATTTTTCATTTAAGTACAATTGTGTATAAAATGGTGCCCTGTTTGATGTAAAACATCAAACCATTATTTCCACTGGTGGTATCGATGTAGAAACTTAAATCTTCTGGTTTAAATAACAATAGAAAGTTTTCTATCATGAATCCAAGCTGTGAAATTTTTCATTTAAGTACAATTGTGTATAAAATGGTGCCCTGCCATGTAAAACATCAAACCATTATTTCCACTGGAAATAGATTTTGCATGAGCTGTGCATATTATTTTAGCTTGTGTGCACTGGGTGAGTATGGGACACAAGATATAGCACTAACACTTTCCATTGAATATTTTCTGCCTCTGCAACTTTGAGCTGATTTCTTTACTACAACAGGACTAAAGCCAAAAGGAAGGTTTTGAACTTTTTTAGTCATATAGATTGACCCCCCAAATTATAACAGTATAGCTTATGTGAGTGTGTGTGTGTGTACATACAGGTACACAAAAGCTCTCAATGGCTTAAAAGAGGTTGCATTAGTAGAAGTAGTTGCAGTTAAAGGTTTGGTACAGAAATGTTCCAGAATTAGCAAGAGCATAGGTATTTTATTAAGATCTTATGTATGACAAATAAATAAATTTAGCTAACATACCACACATTTAAAAGAAAATTAAAATATTAGATGAGATGGGGGGAGGGAAACCTCTGTTTCCTTTGTGCTTGCTAACGGAGGTTGCAAGATTGCAAGCAAACTGATGCAACTGCGTGGACCATTAGTATCAAAGGTTGCTAATACAGCTAACTGAACTCATGTGGACAGCTGATCTTTGCTGCTGGGTGAGTGAAAAGTCAATGAAGCAGATTAATGCAGTGTCTGTGTCTGAGCTTAGGAGGACAGGATGAAACCAAAAGATTTAGCTTTTGATCAATTTTACTTTTAGCTTTTTACTGTATGTATCAAAAGATTTTGATACATACAGTAAAAAAAACCCTGAGAAAAAAGAAAAAGCAAAACCACCCGACCTGCCCAGATGGACAACTCATTCTAGTTCTTATGGAAGAAAATCCCCTTCATCTCTACCATGTTAAAAACAAATGCATCACACAAAATGTAACTGGTTATGGCCGGATAATGTTGGTCATTTTCTTAATGCTAAGAGTTATATCCGCTGCTTTGGGTTTGTTGGTTTGTTCTGTTTTGTTTCTTTTTCTAAAAAAAAAAAAATAAATGAGGAGATGGTACCTAGATTAATCACTTCAATATCCCAAAAAACTCAAATTCTTAAATTCTTGATTTAGATCTGCTTGCTTTATGCAGTATGACTTTCTGATATAGCCCAACTTACTTCCAGTTTGAGCACATGCTTAATGACAGACCACTTTTCATAGAAAGTGGATGCCATAGCTACTAACTTTAAACATGGTTTAAAGGTATGTCTGTGAAGATTATCAGAAGCAAAAAAGAGCCTTTAAGTGCTGTCTTTGCTGACACATCAGCCTGTATTTCTTTATCGACACTTTCTGCACCTTCTGCTGGACAAGCACCAGCCTGGAACATAATGTTTTTGCCATGAAAGAGCTGTTAGTATTAGAGGAACAAAACCAAACATAGTTCTTACCTATAAAAATAAGCAGAAAAACTTACAGGACTGCAAAATATGAACTACAAAGTAGTATTTGGATATTGGCACTTCATTTGTGCTCTGTAGCTACAGAAAAGAGGAAAAAAATAGGTTATCTTTATATTTGTCTAATTTGTGCGTGCATGTTCTGCAAATGAATTAATTTATCAGAGAATAATTAGAACCTGTCAAGAAACCCCAAAGACTGAATACTTTGGAAACAAAATAGACATCTGAATTTCATTTCTTGTATGTTGTTTTTATTTTTTGTCAGTACAGAAGAAAAATTGAGTGAGTGCTGTTGACGTACTTGAAGCTGATAGTATCTTCAGATTGTGTTGCTGATGTTCTTTTGTGGGTTTAGTGGGTTTTGTGAAGTTATTCAGAACACGTAGATTTGTAAACATATTCAAGGAAAACCTAAAAAAAAACTCCTGCAAGAAAATGCTTTTAAAATTACCAATTTTTAACCTGATATATTTGGGAGCTTTTTGCCTTTTTAAAAAAATAAATGATGTTAACGTAGTGCTTTCTGCACTGTATTTACAAAATTGCTACTGTTTGAACAGTTCTGGAAAGAAAAAATTGTAAAATATATTGGAAGTTTCAGGATAGATTTTCTTTTATAAGTTGAGGTGAATAGAGCAGGAAAGCACTTTCATCATCTAATTTAGAGTACATGTTAAATGATTTATAAACAATTCAGAAATATTGAAATGAGGCCATATAATTATTCTGTCATCAAAATACTTCTGTTGGCATGCAGTTTCTTCAGACTCTTCTTCATGACTTTTACTGGGGTAGCGTTAACTGAGAAAATGACCTAAGTTACTTACACATGAATAGAGAAGCACTTTATATTACTTCACGTAATCAAGATTTATTCCATTGGTTTTTTTCAGCATTAGCACTTATTCTTCTTCTTTTTTTTTTTTTTTCTTTACAGATGATACTTTGGGATTGGGATTTGAAGCAATGGTACAAGCCCTATTATCAGGTCAGTGTATTATGAATCTAATTATTCTTTTGTGAAATGTGATTGAGTAGAGAGTTCACTGTAAATTGTCAGATTTCCGTGTTCCTGTTGATGATTTCTTTACCTAAGTTGTCCTGGTACATTCTAGCTCTATGTAGTAGAGGCTTGATATTTAGCAGTTGACAGGGAGCTACTTTGTGGTGTATATGAGAACAGTCTCACACCTAAGATGAGAGTGTGGGTTTTTTTTAAATAACTATTTGCATAACGTTAGGAAATGATTCTCCAGCAATGTCACCAAACTCAGGTCTATCATGTTCTCACCTTTTGTCTTAATTGCTTGTTTCTTCCCCTCTCTCTTGGTATCAGCAGTGGCATCTAAACAGCTATTGCTGTTCCTGTTCAGATAATTGTGCCAAATGAAAGCCAATCACTTATTTGACAGAATTGTTAGGATTTGTTTCAGTAGAATCAGAGTTAATGAAAGTAATGAGGCTATGGAAATTGCAGCTCTCTCGGGGTTTGTACCAGTTTGGCCACTAATATTTCTGTTGATATTACTGGAAGAGACAGAACACTAAGTTTAATTCTGAGACAAAGTAATGAAAAACTGAGATAAAAAAAAGTGGCACTAGATCTTTATGTCAAATAGAGAAAAAAAAACAACCCTGAAAGCTAATGTTGAATTCTGAAATATTTTTTTTAGTGTGTGAAAAAAACCTGCAAAATGTGTTGTCTGAATATGTTTGTCTGCATATATTTTCTTTAAAAGAAAAATACATTACATTGATTTTGTTTTAAATTTATTTTTAAAATTTGCAATACATAAGATGCTTAAAACTTATAATGCTGTGAAATGTTTTGATATGTTAATAGCGTGCAATATTTCCATCTGTTCTAGAATGCTGGCAGTGGAAACGGAGTTGATCTTTCCGTGCTAAACGAGGCTCGGGGCATGATAACAGACCTCCTGGCTGACCCGTCCCTTCCACCACAAGTGATCGCTTCCCTCCGAAGCATTAATAGTCTGATTGGTGCTTTCTCAGGCACATGCAGGCCAAAGGCTAGTCCATTCACACCGTTTTCTGGTTTCTTCCCCTGTCCTGAAATAGAGGATCCTGCTGAAAAAGGAGATCGAAAGCTGCTCAAGGTCAAATAGCTAATTTTCATTTATGTGTGTGTTGCAATTTCAAAACAAAACAAACTGTCAAGGAAAATTAATCTTGGAATGATGAATTCCGTATTCATTTCCATATCTATGGATAGTAGCTTCTTTACTTGAGCTCCTGTGAACTATGTTTAAGGTCAAAAGAGAGCAGCTGTGAAAACACATCGAGTGAAATGTAGATAAGTATCAAAATGCAAATTCAAGTGGTTGATAGATAGACAGGTAAAAGCACTGGTCTGCACTCTGAACGTGAATCCTCAAAATAAACACAGAATTAGGAAAACTAAAAGCAAATATAAAATGAAGATATTATATTCTCATGATATGGCACAACCAGGGCTGTTCCTTTTTCTCCCACATTCTTGGTACGACAATTGCGGTCAGTGTGGCTTTTTCATTGATGTTTTTACCCAAATAAATTTAATCTTGTGAACACCAAACTAGCCATCAGACAGAAGCAAATAAACTATGTAAATGGAAACGTATCTCCTCGTTCTGTGCAGTCCATCATGTTCAGGGACCAGTGTGTAAATCTACTCTCACTTCTCCATTATCTAGGGTAAATAAGTGAACGCCTGAATGTAGTTACTATATGACATGTTAAGGAATGTGTTGGAAAAACATTCAAATATAGAAATTCATCTACAATTCACCAGAGCTGGTAATTCTAAGGTAGCCTTGTATGGACAGCTTAAGTCTGTTTATTGTGGAGGCTGGTCTGGGACATCCTTCCACTGTAGTTGTTTCCATTTCCACGCAGTGGACAGCTTGGTCCAAATTGATCAACTTGTTGGCTTAGTATTTTGTAGCCAGATAAATTGTCTAGAGCCAGCTTCAGCCTGTGAAATGTCTGTTGGGAACTTTTGTCAAGACAAATGCTTTTGGGGAAAAGCTTAGTGTCTACAGATTACTCTGTGGAAGATCCTGCAGGATTATTGCAGTATGAAATTCCTTGGAATGTCACATGGATCTCTGCAGAAATCAATTAGGTAGGGATTATAATCATTCAGCATATGTTTTTCTTTGTGGATTTTTTTGAAAACTGCTAAGGCTTGTTATGCCAATGTGAAAAATATAATTTATGGGAATACAAAAATGTTACTTCAGATTTTTAAAATTTTTATATAGCTAGTCAGAATTGTTTCAAATGAAAAATGTTCATTGCTGAAGACTGGTTGAAAAGATTATGTGAAATTGAAAGGTTATGTTTTTTCACAGCTATTCTCTTTTCCTCTTTCCTAAAAGTAAATCTTCCTCTAAGTCTGGGATTTTTTCTGTATATTACTTTACCTGGTGGATAAAATAGTGCTTGTCACTATTATTCAATGAATGTTTGACTTTGGTATATAGTTAGAAGTAAGCCCAAAGATCTACCCCTAGTATATTACTGCAAGAAAGAAAAAGATTTCTCTTTCTTTCAGAAGCCAGGTAAGTCAGCACAAACTCCAGATTATGACACACCAAAGGAAGTAATAAGAAACTACTTCTTCAAAATGGGGCCTTTCAGACTATATTGAAAAGTTCTCATTCTCCATTTCACTACGTTCTAATATAAACGGTCTTCTCCATATTTCAAATAAGTTGTTTTTTTGCTGAGGATTACATGTTTTTTTTCTTCCCTGACTGCCTTCCAAAGTGCATCCAATTATAAGTTTTTCACTTCTGCTACGGAACTACCTGTTCTCTGTGGTAGAAAAAAACCAAGCCCAAACACAAAAACAAATCACAAAGAAAACCAAGGAAAAGAAAGAAACTGAAACTGAGCTTCAGACGTCGGGCTAGCAATAACTGGTTATCTAATACTAACTCTTCATTCTGAGTTTCTTGGTAGTCGACAACTTGGAAAGTGTAAACTGCCCAGTTGGTCCTATTCACTGTGATTTGTGGTTCCTTAGTTCTTTGCTACCCTTGTTTTGTTTGTTCTCTGCTTCCTTATGTAGTAGGGGAAAGTTCTGGAGATTTGTCATATCCTTAGTGTTCTCTTAGAGTAGCCAGGAAGAAGAAAAGTGAACAGAGTAGCAAAGTGAACAGAGTGAAGGTACATCCCATGCCAAGGACTCAAAGCAGCCTGATTTTTCAGGGTCAGAGACTGGACTCCTTGGTTTCAACACTGTTTCATTTTTTGGAAATATGTAATAGCTTTGTGAGTGAAGTATGGTCTTTGACCACTTGATGAAGCTTAAAATTATGAAGTCATCATTTTGCCAGACTTTTGAAGTGGTAGTATCCAAGGGTTGCTTGTCCTCACACATGACCCTGCAGACCTTACTCAATACTGCAAATATTGCTTTGGTTTTTTTGTTTTAAACATTTTTTCCTGGCATCCTTTTTTACTTTGCAAGGTCTGATTACACACATCTGTATTATGCAGAAGAATCTTGCCCCCACTATTGAATGGCCAAATCTAGGGATGAGTAAATAAGTGGATTATGGACTGAATGCAGTGAGAGAGGTTTTTTGTTTTTTTTTTTTAATTAATTTGTTTAAAATACAATATCTAGGTTATCTGTGCAATGGATGCAGATATGCCAGAGCTGGCTTTGCAGTTTCAGTTCAGTGATCCAATCCTTTCTGTTAGCTAGGTTCTACTAGTTGCTATTTAAACTTGGATATACTTTTCTGGGGGCATTTCAGTAAAGCAGAGCTACTGTGTTCTGAGTTATTTCTACACAGGACTGCTTGAGTGCCCTTGCACTGCTCTGCAGAGGCTTTGTGTTCAAGTACAATGGTGATTCCCAGTTTTTGGGCTGCAGTGTGCCCAGACTAACAGCTTCCAGGCTGGGAGTGGTGGGATGCCTGGGAAGCTTCCTGGGTGCTGTGGGGGTGGAAAGCAAGCAGAGAAGGGAGCCTTGATGGACCAGAACTGACCCTGTGCATTGTGTATCACCCTTTCCACAGGTTCCACACTACTCACACTGTCAACATTTACCATCTGAGTTATCAAAATATCAGGCTATCCTGAGAGCTGGAGAGCTGACTGTATAGTCCTTTGATTGGGAGGAGTAGGAAAAAAATCTGTAATCCAATGGCAACCGACTATCTGTAGAAAATCTCCATTTTTAAAAGCTCTGAAGAGTAATTGTTGGACCACATGGATTTCAGAGTACAAGTATCTTTATATATTTTAATTTTGGGGGAAAAAAGAGATATGAAAAATAATTATTCCTAGTAGGAAAAATACTTTCATTGAATGTTTTTTATTTTCTTGAACAATAAGAGAGAAGGTAGGATACCATACTTACTGTTTCGCTATAAAAAAATAACAATAAATAGTCTTCACAAACAGTAAATAATTTTTTTATATCTGTTTTTAATTATATAGATTTTAACCATGGTTAAATTACTCAATAGGGATTAACTAGCAGGAATAGCCTGCCGACATCACAGCTGAAACGAACTTCAGGAGTTTCTGGCATTCCACCTATAGACTCAACATCATCTAGATGGGAACGGAGTAATAGCAAGAGATCTCATCAGGAATATAGCACATCCAGGTAAGCACTTAACCACATTTAAAGGGCAAGAAGAAATGTAGCCTTTCTAAAATGTTCCTGTCTGTAATTTTGGAAGATGGCAGTGGAAGTATTTAATGTAAAATCTTGTGAATTAGTCTCAAATTCTGCCAGCATAAACTGGAAAATGTTTCAAGGTAATGATATGCTTTGTAACTCTGATCTGAAGTAGAAATCAGGTCATTCTGAAATTGAATGGCATGCTCTGTCAGCATAAGTTGGCCTGCACATCAGTTTTAGTAGGAAATGAAAAAAAAAAAGTCCAACATACATGATTGCAAAACAGACTAGTTTAATCTCTGAACCTTGACTGACTTCCTCCTTCTCCTTTTTACTGAAAATATGTATCACTTTCCAACTTCTACATACACCAAAATTTGTTTTCTAATTAGAAGATGATACTTTCTTGCATTTGGTAGCCACTGTTGTGTGTACTGCAACATTTATTATTCCTATGGTCATCAAGCAAGCAGTAAGGTGGATTAAAAAAGTTGTGTCTTCTCTTCTTGTTAGTCAATATGATGCAAATAAAGCTTTTCCTTCCAGAATTAAGATTACATTTTGAATTAGGATTAAAATAAACATACTTTTTTTTCTTTTTTGTTTAATGTTGTATATGAGTGAAACTTTACATATTCAGTTTTATTTAAATGTGTAAATATGTATGGCTTGGCTCAATATCTTGTAAGAAAAGTACAACAGATGGTTGAAATTGTGTTGCAGCTTCAATCCATAAAAATGTGTGTGGTTTTACTATTTTTTAATTCTATTTTTAATACTTAGTATCTCTAAAGAGTTTAATAGTTTAATAAGAAAAGTATAATAGGTGCATTTTTCTAAACAAAATATGAGTTCTGCTGATTACTAATAATTACTAGTACTAGATGAAAGTTTATACACATATGTCTAAGAATTTATTTATCAATATCATATTTAATTTTAAAATGAACCATTTAAATAATTTTCTCCTTGTCGGTGGCTTTTTCGCCTTTAATAAAATAAGCTCTTTGGGTTTTTACATAGTAAAACTTAATTGGTTTTGTCTAAGAATTTATTTATCAATATTATATTTAATTTTAAAGTGAACCATTTGAATAATTTTGTCCTTGTTGGTGGCTTTTTCCCCTTTAATAAAATAAGCTCTTGGGGTTTTTACATAGTAAAACTTAATTGGTTTCTGTGTAAAAAATATAATTGAAGATGCTAGTAGTAGCCGTAGTAGTTCAAAGACTGTATTTTCATGCTGAATTTTCATGTTCAAAGACTGTATTTTCATGCACCCATGGGTGCTTCTCTTACAGATAAGGTTAGATGAAATAGCTGAACTGGCACAGCTATTCCTGTGCCAAAAGAGGCAGTCCTGCTTTCCTAGAGCACCTCGTGCCATTGCCTCTGGGTGTTGAGTCAGCCCCTTAAATTGTAAGAAAAATACCAACAATAAAAAGACAGGCTTTCCTGCCTTGGGGAGATGATACAGCCCAATGTAGGACCCAAGGAACGTTAGGACAGAAGGAAGGAGTAGGCTAGGCTAATAGTAAAAAGGGAGAGTAGAAAAGCAAACTTCACTAGGAGGAAAGCTTATAAGAAATCAAAAATATTTTTTTTTACGTACAATGACTGCTTTCAACTGAATTCTAGCTGAATTGAGAAATTACTTTTTTTTACATACAATGACTACTTTCAACTGAATTCTAGCTGAATTGAGAAAGGTAAGATATTACATAGTGGTAAAATAAGTTAATATTGCTACAAAATTTTATTTCATGTTCCAGAATTTTTTTCTAGCCCTCCAGACAGTGGTTCAAAAGCAACTCTTGAGAGCTGCAGTTTTATTTTAAGGCAATTCTTGATTTGGTTTTATATACTCTTTCTACACTAAGTACTGTTGGCAGCATTTTTATGTGCTTTAAAAAAATTATGTGTAAAATATGGTAGCTAAATTGTGTCCAAATATTGAAAAGTTCAATCTGTCCCAGTTGTCAACCTGAATATTTTTTAGACTTGACTAACGTGTCAGCATCAGACTTCAGGAGAATAAATCTGTGTTTTAACTCATTTCTTATATTTATATATTTAAACAAATGATGGGAGACCAAGTATTATTTCTGTACTTGACTTTTGTTTGAAATCTGATTAAGCACAATTAAAACTGTTTTGTTTAATACTGTTTTCTCATACTGAAACAAAATAATTAGTTTTAAATAGACTATTTTCACTTTAACGTACATCTCTATAGTTATAATTAATTGCATATCACATTTTTTTTTACTAAATGAAATGTTTAATTGGAATTTTGGAGTGCAGTTTCATGCCTAGAACAGCAGATGGCATAATTAAATAATCGAGTTTAACAGTTTAGCCACTGAAGTACAATATGACTTTAAGTCAAAACCAACTTTAGTTTTAAGATTATAATATATAAAATGATTAATTAAATATGCAAAATTTATTTGAAAAGCAAGCCATGGCTGTTTAAGATTGTCATATTTCCAAAGCAACCAATCTTTTAAATGTTTTAAGTGTCTGTTAGAAAATAGCCTGCTTTGTTAAAGCGTTTGAGAAAAGTAAATACCATGTTAGAAAGTAAAACCTATGGCACGTGGCCTGAATGTATTTCTTGTGTCATTTTAGGACCGCATAAAATTTTCTGTTGCTTTCACCCAGTACCCAGCAGTTTTTATTTCATAAAATTGATGTGTATTGTCCAGCAGATCTTGAATTCGACTTTTTTGTAGTACTCTATTTTTCTTGAATCGCAGTGGACCTGTAACAGAGCTGTCTGGCTATTTTATAAGCATTTTATTTAATAAAAATGGAAGACAAGGTAGGAACGAAAAATTTCTTACTGTTTTATTTCAGCCAAGGATCTCATTCAAATGGGTCTTTTGGTGCAAACTTGCTGACAATACCAAAGCAAAGATCATCTTCTCTGACATTGGCTCATCATATGGGTTCCAGACGAGGAGGTAAGGTCATGCAATTTGTATAGCTTAGTGGCAGGATGTGAAGGTAGTGCTTACTACATCATGTATTAGGATTGGGTTTTTTCATGTAAATGTAATAATAAAATAACATCAGCATGTTGCATATAATTTTAAAATATTTTATTTTTTTGCTTCTAAGAAAACTCAAAATTACAGTTCACATTAACTTTGTAGAAATCTCAGTTATTCACGTAATGCTATGAAGCTGTGACATTTTGTGATGTTCAGTATGGTTGGTACCTATTGACTCCTAAATACCTGATAGCCATCTAAGAGAAATATTTAAACAAATTTTGGAAGGAGTTGGAATAGATTTTATACTAATGCTGTCAGTGTAATAAGCTAGTAGATTCTGTAACAGCAGTGCTGAAATAATGTGCATATCAGTATTTCAGAGATTGTAGTTTATCTATTTCCCCATATTAAGTGAAAACTTGAAAACTACTTCTTTTGACATTTATGCCTATCCATTTTAGCATGATTTTAAAATGACAACCGGTCTCGTAATTTTGTTTTATAAAAGTTAAATATGCAGGTTGGATTGAGAGAGATGAATCCAGTTCTTAATTTTTTTTAAAACCAAAACCTCCCTCGTTTTCTCTGTATTACTTCCTGATGGTTTGGTTCTTTCCCTTGCACCCTTCCAAACACCAGGAAACAAGCAAACTCAGGACAGATCTGCATGGAAAAACATTTTTGCACATTCTCAATGTTTCTGAGTTCATAAAAAGCTGGGCTGCCTTCTGCACTTTTCTACTTTGAATCTTGTGGAAAACGCAGGGTGCAATGATATGCATGAAAACCTGCTGAATGTGTACATCTAAAAAGCATGAAATTAAGTAACCAACATTAGAGTATCAAACTGTTTTAGTTCTGGAAGTGAGTTTACAGGTTGCTTCTCAGCTTTCCAGATCTTTCTTTGCAGCAGTGAAGTTACATTTGCTTTCTAAATCTTCTCTCTCTGCATCTAGCAATGTAGACTTTGAAAAACCTTGTCTTTTATTGTAAATTTTATTAGGCACATGTTAAGCACAGAGTAGCCAAAGTCCAGATTTACCAGCTTGCTTTCCCAGATTTCACAGACAGAAACCTGACGTAAACCCTAGTTTACCATTTGAACAGTTATGGGGAATTTCATGGACCTAAGAAAGATGGAGTTATTTGTTGTTTGGTTGTTTTTATCTCTAATTACCCATAAGCAAACTGTAGATTGTTGTTGGGTTTTGTTTTTTTTTTTCCCCCAATGGCCTATTAGGCAGATTTAAATAGATTATTATGCCAATAAAATAAATGTACGTCACTGTCAAAAAAGGCCAGTATCTGCCCACTTTAATCCCTTGCTTCAAAAATATGATTACAACACTTTGGGTTTTTTACTTTATTTTAAAAAAATGTCTGAAGCATATTTTTTCTGTATTGCAAAACAATGAGGTAAAAGATTTTTGTCTAGGTCAGTTATCAATACTGAATTGATTTTGATGTTTTTTTTTTACCTGGAAAATTTTAAAAAAGCAATTCTGAACAGAAAGGAATATTGAAAATTTCAGCTACTGATAAAAATTCTGCCAAAGCTAAAACCAAAGACAGGTTTAGAACACATGACATAGTTTGCCCATTCAGATGTGTTGCCCAGACTGCTGCAGAGCTGTAGATCTTAAAACTTGCAATATATCTTGCTACTTTAAATGTCTTTAACAGTGTGAACTGTACAGTGTGTTTTGAAAACTTACACATTCTTTACAATTAATAAAGATTCTTGTCATTTAATTTCTGTCTTTCTGAACAATAATGTTTCTATTGTTTTCTGAACCCCATGTAATGTTTGTTTTGGAAGGTGCTTCTCCTGGCCTGAGTCCTGTGGGTTCACCTAGTCATGGATCTGTCTCCAGTGGGGCTTTCAGCAGCTGGTCACCTGTAGAATTTCCTGATACTGCTGATTTTCTTACAAAACCAAGCATTAATATACATAAGGCTCCAGGATACACATCTGGCTCTCCAGATTTTCAGCAGCAAGTTAAAACACCTCTAGCTTATATGTGTAGCAGGTACCGTAAACTCTGTTACATTTTTAGAAACTTCATATGCATTGAAAAGAATATAGTTAAAATGAAAAAATATAAAAATACCTATACATCTACAGGTATTGAAAAAAAGGCATATGATGTCATAATAATTTGTAACTATGTTATCCAGGGGAGACTAGAGAATGGTGTAGGTATGCCTTTGAATTGAAATGGCTCATCTTTGAAAGCAGCAGTTACTGTAAAGTAACAATATTTTACAGATTGTTAAAAAAGGAGGACTTCTTACCTGGGAATTGAATTCTGTGTTTCTGAATTCTTTCTAAATAATTAGCTCTACTTACTAATTCATGGAGGTCAGGCCTTGGGTAGGTGATGTTTCATTATTTTCTAAGTACAGACTAAATCTGTATGTGCCAAATTTAGGAGAAAAATACAAAGGTCATTTTGTGGAGTAACCTTCAAAAGTACGCCTTTGTAAGAAAAGTAATTAGCGGGTATTTTTCAGTACAACTCAGCAGTAGGAAGAGAAGAAAATTGCTAAATGTTGTAAATATCTTTCATGTATTCTATAAGTTGTGGACGTCAGATACTCAAGCCTGTTCCGACACCAGAACCGGAATTTGCAGAATATAAAGACAGAAAATCAGGTAGGATTTCAAAATAGACAAATATTTATATTTATTTTTTTTTTCTTTTAAGACAATTAAATTATTTTTTTTATATCTACATGAAAATTTTTCTATACTTTAAGTAACTCATATGCATATATTTTATTTTAGTTTGTGACTTAGGATAATCAAGATAATCTAAAATACTGCCTGCTTCAGAGTAAGGATTTTATAATAATTTCCACTCATAGCTTTATAGTTCTGTACTCCATATATCAAACCAATTCTCTGCCATATGAGCTAAAGTAATCACTGAACTAATTTTTACAAGTAAAAAGTTATGCTCCTAGCTTTTCTTAATCTTCAAATATGTTTGCCTAATACATTTTGTCCTTAACAAATTTTTTGTTAAATTCTAAAATAAAAATGGTTCAGAAACAAGCTATTATTTAGATTTCTGTGAAGAATCTGTATGTCAATTCAAGAATTATTAGACAGTATAATTTACAAATAAATTATTGATATAGTATTTATGTATGTATTTTCTTTAAGGTGAAATTGGAAGTGCTAGTGTAACAAAAGAATCTTTCCACCGTACAGAGAAGAAAAAAGATGAAAGGAAGGAAATGATCGATCAAACACAAAATAATCTGCTTGTAAGCATGTAATTGCAAAAAACCGGTTGCAATAGCTTTTATCAATGCAGTATTTCTTTATCATTTCTAACAAGATGTAAAGAGGTCTTTGCATTGCTAAGAGTTGTAATCCCTAAAGGGAAATGGTGCATTGTTGGAATTCAAATTTCCATTTAACAATTGTGTATTTTCAGCTTGCATAAATTTCACTAGCAAATGACAAGAAAGATGGTGATTATAATAATTTTTATGTTGATCAAAATTCATTTCTGTACTTTTAATGTTGATAGTATGCTCAAACACTGATTAACTAGTATTTTCTTTTGGCAGTTTATGGCAGTTTCAGTGAGACTTCCAAATGAATGTTCATGCAGGAAGACAAATGTTTTAAGCTTTACTAACATTTTGGGATTTTTTGTAAAGCTTGTTCAATTAATGACCTGTTAAAACTCAATAAGTGTTTTGTTAGCCTATGCATATTTTTGCTTTGTTTTATTAACTTATCTCATTTAAAAGAATTAAGAATGAAAATTTAGCACCATCTCAGAAAGCCCTGGAATCTGCTGCCTCAAAATATAAAATGTTTAGCCCTTAACTGTCCCATTTGTACTATTGATTTATGATTTTCTCATAGCAGGAGTTAGAGCACCATTCAATAAGTTCAATAATGATTTATCATTTTCATGGCTTTTTTTGCCAATACAACTGTCAAATTAGTTTTCGTTGTTATTTTAGAGAAGATAAAGTATCTTACTCTCACACAGGGGGAGCAGAGTCCTACATTAGAAAAGTTATTAGACCACGATTCACTAATAGAGAAGATGAGCAACTGGAATTTCCAAATTTTTGACCTTGTTCAAGAAATGGGAGACCAGTCTGGAAGGATCCTTAGCGAGGTTTGTTGTCTTTTACTATATGAGGGAGGGTGTATAAAGCTGTTTTGCTTATGTATATTATTTAAACCGTGAAGAAGTTCTGCAGTCAACATATACATATGAATGCTAACTTGAAAAGTAGAAATATAATTTCTCATGTATTCCATTTCATTGTAAAACATAAAAAGTGATTTATCTATAGACAACTGGCTCCAAATTTTCTGAAATTTATTCTCAATGTAAAAATAGGTTCGCTTCACACTTCTTAGGTTTTGCGGTAATATGCCATTTCCTATGAAAAATTGTCTCCTGCTTTCAGAATTACTACCTTGTTTGTCAACTATATCTTTTTTCTTTATTTCAGTAAAATATTTCTGCCAGAGCTACACCTGTGGGGGAAGAGAAGTGATCTTTTAGGCAGTCTTTTGCCTCTTGATCCTACAAACAATGGGATTTTTTTTCCATGCTGCTTTCTGCATGTAGTATCCCTTTTATCTCTTTCTGAATTACTACTAAGCTCTTTCATGCAGTTTCATGTTGTGCTGAAGCCAATCTACTGGCAGGTGCAAAAAGTGTGATCCTGTTTGCTCTTCCCAGCCTCTCCCATTCATCAGTGTCATCTGGAAGCTTCTGTCTCTTTCTTTATGCTGGATTTAGCAACCAGGGAACTATAGCATGAGTTGGATTTGCTTCTGATCTGATCACAAACTATTTTGATTGGCAATATCTGGAGTAGAATGCATGTTACTCCTGTTCAGGGGTGATGTTAGGAACAGTCAGCTAGAGGGAAGGAAACAGGTCAGAAGCACTCAGGTGCAGCTGGAATCATAGTCCTGCACCTGGACTGGAGACAGGAAAAAAAATAATAGGGATAATTTAATTTTTATCATTAGACACTATCTTTTCTTTCATAATATAGAATATTCTGGGTATTGTTTTAAATCTTTAGTTAATCTTGTTTGATCAATTTTTCAGGTCTTTTGTCACCTCAGTTAGTGACAACTGTTAATGTACAGACCAGAATGCCAAAATGCACTTCTGAGTGGTGTCCTTGCTGTAGTATATACTACTGTTCTGTGAGCCACATTAGCTTGTGTTTCCTTTGTGTGCAATCTAGGGGATAGTTCAAACCTGTAAGTACTTCAGCGTGCAGGTTTCTACTGAACTCTACCAAAATTTCTGTAGCAGTTCTTCCTGATATTGTATCTGTGTGTACTACTTGTCCTTCTCCTCCTCCTGCCCCAGTCCTTTTGTCCGTTGTGCTGTAAGCATCTGATACATATCTTCCTTAAGAGCCAGTTAAAAACTGTATTTTATGATGACCAGCTGTAAGGTTCTCAGATTAGGTATGTGTACGGGGAGTGGTTGGGACGAGTGGAAGGAGGGATGTCCCCTCATTTTGCTCCCGTGTTCCTCTGAGCACCTCCCACACTTCACAACTTACTCCTCCTCTCAAGTTTCTGGGAAAGAAGTGATAAAAATGAGTAGCAGTGACTTGTTTTGAAAAGCTTTCTTAGTATTTGTGGTTCTGGGGGGGATTAGGTCTTTGTAGTCACTAAGTTCTACTGGTAAACCATAGTATATTTGCACAGGATATACATGTGTGGGTGTCCTGACTACATTTTGGAAATATTTTTTTCTTTTACCAGCTGGCATTGTTAAAAGGAGCTAAGTCAAGTCATAATGAATAAAACAAATAGGATTTATCTGCCAGAGTCTCAAAAATAAATACAGTGTTGGGTTTTGGTTTTTTTTTTTACATTAATGGCTCTGCTACTATAGTTAAATAATTTGAACTTTTGAATCATAGAATCATAGAATGGTTAGACTTGGAAGGGACCTTAGAGATCATCTGGTTCTAACCCCCCCAATGCCATGAGCAGGGACACCTTCCACAACACCAGGTGCTCAAATGATAAGAAGTAAGATTAAGGAGTAAGAACATATATTTTTTATTTTGGAGTCACTAATGGAATAAAACATGAGTTCTTTAACATTATGAAAGTTTTGGAGAATATTATTAAAAATAATCAGTTGTGAATAGAATTTATCAGTAAAGAAATAAAAGCTTTATTATTCTGTGTTTGACAAGATGATAAAAATCCACATTTTTGTGCTAAAAAATCGTTAAACATTTCTACGATGATAGTTTTCAGATAATCTTTAATAGAATTTGGGTAATTTCTACCTCTTGGCAGCAAATAAAATGTTAAAAACAGGGATGATTTTAAAATTGAAAAAAAACAGAAAATGCTTAGGTACATTTTTCAGACTAAAATTCATTTTAATATGTATTTAGGTAACTTATACCTTGTTTCAAGACACTGGTTTGTTTGAAATTTTCAAAATCCCAACTCAAGCAGAAAATGCTTAGGTATGTTTTTCAGACTAAAATTCATTTTAATATGTATTTAGGTAACTTATACCTTGTTTCAAGACACTGGTTTGTTTGAAATTTTCAAAATCCCAACTCAAGAATTCATGAATTACTTCCGTGCACTAGAAAATGGCTACCGAGATATTCCCTGTAAGTACTATCCAATTACATATGTTTTTCTTTTTTATTAGTGTATCTCCTTTAATGTGTGTATTAGTTTAATGTTTAATAGAGGTATACAATGTTTGAACTTAGTAACTATTTTTAATGAATACGTTTGTCAGAATTTAGAACTGATTTAATGAATTGCAACAAAGAATTAGTGAACTCCAAAACTGAATTTGTTAATATGTAAGGTGAATATAATCTTAAAAAAATTTTGAATGAGTAGTTGAATCAAACATTCTGAAGTCAATGCGAGAATATTTGTTGATTTAATAGAAATTTGTTTTAGGCCCATCATAGAATAATAAGAAATTACAGAATTTGGCAGTAAGTATTCATCTTGCTGTTTAGGGCAGTCAAATTTATTGGAAAACAAAACAAAACAAGACACCAGCCCCCACCTGCCTCCTCCCATCCGCCCCCATCCATCTCCCTCCCTCCCTTCCTTCACCTTGAGAGTCACAGATGTTGTTTGCAGCCACCCAGGTGCTTGTAGGTATCCTGGAAGGAATGCTACTGGCTCCTTATCACTGATTTAGGAGGCTATTTTTAACCCCTTCCTGAATCTCAGGCAGGGTGAAGCATGTTCAGAGGATGTTTGATACTTATCTAACTTGTTTCTTAAAAACATTTGGTGATACAGCCTCTGCTAACAATTTAAATTCAATTTTTCCTTTAGATGTCATCACAATCTACCCTAGAGTAAATTTGACACGTTACATTTCTTTTTTTCTTTTTGCTCCTTTTGATTATGTTTCAGATAATATTTTTGATTCTATTTTGATAATTTTCAGATCACAATCGTATCCATGCCACAGATGTTCTTCATGCAGTATGGTATCTGACAACACGGCCAGTTCCTGGATTTCAGCAAATGCATATCGAGCATATAATGGAAAGTGATATGGGTGTGTATTCCTATTATTTTATTTTTTTCTTTTGCTGTAAGAATGTTTCTTACGAAACTACAATAGGTAAAGCAAATTACTCTGGAAGAAAACATCTAACTACTATGGGAAGTTCCATTCAAATACGAGGGAAAACTTCTTTATGGTGAGGGCGCCAGAGCCCTGGAAGAGGCTGCCCAGGGAGGTCATGGAGTCCCCTTCTCTGGAGATCTTCAAGACCCACCTTGATGCAGTCCTGGGTGATGTGCTCTGGGAAATCCTCCTTTAGAAGGGGAGTTGGACCAGATGACCTCTATGGTCCCTTCCAACTCTGACAATTCCATGATTAATACACACCTTATAGAAATATCAAGCAGTCGATTTTTAGAAAAAATATTAGATGTGTAGTGTTTAGTTTGTTAGCCAAGAACACAGGTTCACTTAATAAAGTTTCTATGCTAAATTAAACCTCTGTATACTGCTATAGTCAGCGTATTGAAATCCATTAAAGTAATATTTCTTAACTTTATTGGGAAATTAAGTAGATCAAAGAAAAAAATACCAAAGTCAAAGTGTTTAACTTAATTGAAGACCTCAATGGTTTTAGTATAAAAATGGGTGTTGCAGAATTCTGTATTAGATGCAGACATTCAGGCACTGAACTGACTATGCTAACAATAACTGCATAAGAGCATCCCTGAAAGAGAGATAAAGACTTCAAATTCCAATTTTGTATGACATTAGTTGTAATGAAAATGGCTTTTGTGTTGTCTGTGACTTCGTGGAATTAACTTTTAAATTTACAGTTATAGGTTGTGCTAAAATGCATACTGTAAGCAAAGTATAATTATTCTAAATATCCACTTTCATACTAAAATATATGTATTTAAGAAAAATAAAATGGGGAAATTAATCACTCTCTAAGAACTGTTCTGTATGTGCAGTAAAAAAATTCCAACAGCCCAAGGGCTGTAATTTTAAGTAATTTGGGAACTGTATTAAACATTATACAGTATATGTTATTTCTTCCTTACTAATTAGCCCCTCTGCTGTCACCTTGCTCTTTTTCCAAGTTTGTCCATACCCACTGATTGCACCCTATTGCGTTTTCTTTCTCTAAGTATTAAAAGGGTTGGGACTGGAGACTCGACTGGAGGAAAGAAAAATGATAAGAATTGTTTTGTTTCCCTTAAGAGAAAAGTAAAATTAAAATAAGAAATTATAGTCTCATTGCTTTGGAACTCCTCCAGTATAAATGTTACTAGGATTTTTAATCCTCAGTTATTCTACTAAGGCAAAAGAGACCCTTTTTATTATGCAGTGACGAAATAAATACTGTTACTTTTTGCTTTTTTTTGTTTGTTTGTGGTAGTTTGTTTGTTTGTTTTGTTTTGTTTTTTACTAAGTTGTGACTTTGTCTAGGGGAAAGAGAAGAATAAAACTGTGAATCTCCTTATCATGCCAATATTTCTAACTTAGTGGGTTTAGTTCCTTTTGCAGTAGTTTTTACTCTCCCCCAAGCTTTTCCTATAGGTCTGCGCGTTCAAGAAATAGGCAAATTATAGAAATACTAAGGGTGTTGCTGATTGATTCTTTCTTGGCCTTATTGGGGCCTTCCATGGAACAAATACCTACAAATGCATTTTAATAATTAAAAGCTTAGATTGTTATGGTTGCTTTCTAATCTAAATGACAACTTTACTGCAATCAAGAGACATAGACTAGATGGCCAGTGTCCCTTGTCCCACTATATTGCTTTCTGTGCCTGATGAAACATTCCTCTGAACCAGCCTTCTTTCAACTTTTCTTAAAAATTACTGGTTTATCTATAAACAATAGCATAACTTTTTATTTAAAGTATAGCTCTTTCTTTGCTAGTTATTCTGCTCCGCAATTACAAGGATTATGTTCACAATAGTATCTGGCTGAGTCATTTAAAATGTATGAAAAATATGAATGCAATAATGTTCTAAAAATACTTTATTTTTTCGTATTTTCAATTTTCTTAGATGAAGCTAGTGGCATTGCCCCTGTTCGAGTCAGCTATACTTCTTCAAAAAGTTGTTCTATTGCTGATGATAGCTATGGTTGTCTGGCATCAAACATTCCTGCTTTGGAGTTGATGGCTTTATATGTAGCAGCTGCCATGCATGATTATGATCATCCTGGTCGTACAAATGCTTTTCTAGTCGCTACCAATGCACCTCAGGTAAGAGATTCTTTAACCAGAAAATTATTTGTCTCTATCTGCAATCAAAATAATGAAACTTTTCTTCTTCTGTATCCCTGCTGTAGTCTGTTTGGGATCCATTTGCCCGATTTAAGAAACTGGGAAATGAATTTGTAGTTAAGTTGTGTAATATCCCCCCCCGGCCCCCGATAAATTCCAATGTGTTTTGTACATATTGGCTGTGTATGTGTGTAAAAATAATTTCCAATTTATAAAATTGAAAATAATAACATAAATCAATGCAGGCGAGAGTAAAATTATTTCATAGAGAGCTGGTCCTAGGATTGTCTAAGTAGCTAATTCATGGATATCTTAAACTTTGGGGGTCCTCTGAAATCACAGTGGTGTCTGCAATTACCGCAAAAACACAGGTTCCTCTAACAGTCCAATTAACTACATCACCTAATCTCTGTATATCTAATTAGTCCTTTATGGCAAATAGCCTTTACCTTTAAGGGAGGGTGAGTAAAATAAGCAGAAATTAGCAAGGAATCCTTACTCTTATCTCCCACTTTCAACTTTATTGTTAGAAAGTAGAAAGAAAGGAGATGCTATGCTCTTCAGGGTCTAAAAGGCAAAGACAAAAGAGGTGAAGGAGATGAAAGCTAAACAAAATAGCAGATAGGAAAAAGAAGGGGAGGCAAGAAAGAATTGGAAGGAAAAGCACTGAAGAAAAGATGCCTAAACTGCGTGGTGAAATATTTCTATCTAAAGAGCGGAATATTATCTGGGAAAGAATATTTACGATGGCTTTTGGATCTCTCTTAATAAACTAGAGACAAGAAACTTCATAGTAACATCATCTGCAACAACCATAATAACAATAGTAAATCAGAAACCAATTCAACTTGCCACGAGATGGAGACTTTCCAAGATGTAGACAGTTATGTGTTTCTGCTGCAAACAGTACACAAAGAAGGGTGAAAAAAACCAATGCAGACATTCATCTCCAGTTTTCAAAAATAATCACATTCATTTTGTTAATAATATCTTCCTTTCCTCAAAACATAAAGATCATTTTTGCAGGTTTCCGAATTTTTTTTTTCAGGTTGTATTTAATATTCAATTAAATATTTTCTAGGATGTTTTGTATAAACACAGGAGTTGTGAGTAAAATCTACTACTGTTTAATATTTTAATTAACTCATTTGCATTTAAAAATGTATTCATCAACATTAAACATAGCACATTGAAACCTAGTGATACTCCACACCATTTTGCATTAACGATGGTTCTTAGATGCTTTGGAGTTCTTGTCATGATTTTTTAAAATTTTATTTTATTTTTTAAACAATACTGGAATTAAGAGGAATTAAAAGCATATACTTAGCTCTGAGGCTTTTGTTGGTTGGTTTTTGGTTTTGGTTTGCATTATTGTTGTTGTTTCATGTCAGTGTTCATACTCCACACATACTGCCAGGAGAGCAAAGTCTGTGTTTTAAGTGGTTTGTGTA